TATATATATATACAGTGTGTATCCTAGTACGCTAAAAGATTTTAATAATTTTACTTAATATTGTATAATATCATTACACTATTAATCCTTTTATAATATTTATTAATCGACTTAATTTTTGATACACATAACCGTTAAACGCGCAATCTTCGCGATGACAACCGCTCACGAAATAAACAACGAGAGAACCAAATCGACATGATATTCGCTTATGACACGAAGTTACGCGATACGATCAAGCTCTAGACAACTAATCCGCATCGCGGAAAAGAAGCAATAATGAATTCGACTATCGATTTAACATTTTCTTTTTTAAAGGATCTCAATAATGACTGTGCCGAATTCTATGTATGATTAATTGATAGCTTGTACCCGAATTGTATAATGAAAATGCATTAATTTTTTTTCTATTTACCCTATGAGCGAAGATATTGCTACAAGTTCCAAATTTTGTTCAAAATTTAAGAAACGTTATTGTCGTTACTATTCACGTCAGAGTTGTCGTCTGACCCATGGATTACGTCTCCAACTTCAGTCGACAGATGGCTATCTCAATCCCTTTTTATTTTATTTTTTAATAATTTTTTAATGAACAACGATCGACTACTGTCCGATGGTCATTCAGGGTCATGATCTTGACAATATATGTTAAGGTCATTTTATTTTTTTTTTTAATAACGTGTAATGAATTATCGCTACAACCTTCCGAAGGTTGTTCGGTGTGATGACATTCATAACGTATGGGAGGGTCAAGGTGAATCGGAGGTGAATTGTTTTTTTAATTTTAATTAAACTTCTTAATCAAAGAGCAACTGCTAAAACCCTTCGATGGTCATGCAAGGTCATCATAATCAGAGTTCAATTGATTATTTAATTTTTAATAACTTTTTAACACACACATGTGTGTGTGTGTGTGTGTGTGGTGTGTGTGTGTGGTGTGTGTGTGTGTGGTGTGTGTGTGTGGTGTGTGTGTGTGTGGTGTGTGTGTGTGTGTGTGTGGTGTGTGTGTGTGTGGTGTGTGTGTGGTGTGTGTGTGTGTGTGTGTGTGGTGTGTGTGTGTGATGTGTGGTGTGTGTGTGTGTGTGGTGTGTGTGTGTGTGGTGTGTGTGTGTGTGCGCGCGCGCGCGCGCGCGCGCGCGCGTGCGTACATGTTAAACCTTCTGAAGGTTGTAGAAAATGTAGTAAGAAGACAAGATATATATCATATGCCGCAGTTCTATGTTAAACAACAAATTGAAAAAAGGAATAGAAGTAAGTAAAAGTTATCAAAAAGAGTAATTCTAAATGTAACCTAAATGTAATCCTACATCTGTATTCATAATTAAACCTTATAATTTTTTATTTAATTTCATATGTTCTACAAATTATTTTATTGCTTAATTTATTAATTTACTTATTATATTGAAAACAGTGATAAACAGGTATCATCTAAAGTTTAAATTTCTGTAGTTAAGAATCTTTCTATGGTTCTTATTTTATGAATCATCTGACTGAATAACTGAATAATTGAAAAGGAATATTTTATATAAATATATTTGTACAAAAAATGCAGGGATGGAAAGAAAAATAACGCCATAATAATTTTATCGTTACAATCGTTTATAAAAACGATTTAATAACGACGTTGTAGTTTTGTATGATCAACAATTACTGACTACACTAATTTTGTGCTAAGCTTGGAAAAATCACTTTGAAAAGTAACTCTTCATTACGCATTTACTTACTGAAAAGGTTATTTGTAATGCATAACGCTACTCGCTACGTTATAAGAAACGAGTAAAAGATAACATATATTACAAATAATGAGTTCTTTTCGGTGACCGATCCAATAATCGTAATAATGATTAAGTGACTTTCCAATCCTAGTGTTACAGTTAAAAATTTACTTCGTAAAAACTGTATACTGAAGTGTTACGTCCAAGAGGGAATGAATGCATGGAGCTGAGGGATTGAATGCAGCAAGAACTGAATTTTTAATCGATTTGATTGCACCAAGCTCTGGATCACAAGGGATTTGTGGGGAAGAAGCGATGCAAACGAGGAGGCACTTCGTCCTCGGGGTCTCGAGGAGTCGAACGTCGGGAGGACATAGTGGAAACCTCTCTCGCGGCCAACGCTCCACTGAGCAGACTTATAAGTCGAACGCATTTGTTTAAAGATCCCAAACTGGAACCGTGTGCCATAACACTTTAACGCCAGATGTGCCAATTTGTCCTGATTTTCGGTCATGAAACTTAATCCAAATGACCGAGAAGAGGGCTAAGTGTAATCGCGGGAGAAAGTGAATATGAGAACAGGATACATGCAAAAATTAACCCGGATTTCAGTTAAACAATATAATTAATAAATAAAAATTAATGTTTATACATGTTTTTGTTTTTACAAAATAATCAGCAATTGTTGCATTTGTAATTAATTTCAGGTTCTGATTGAACGCGATGCATGCTTGCGTGTGTGGGTACATTAGGAAGAAGAGCATGGATTTATATAAATAAAGAGTATGGAGAGGTGGAATTAAGAGAATATTACTAGAATCAAAGACATCTAAAATTATTTAATGATTAATCTCGAAAGGAGAGAGAGAGAGAGAGAGAGAGAGAGAGAGAGAGAGAG